GTGCTGCAAATAACCTTTGCCCCAGCAGAGGAGTGGCACTTGAAAGAAAAAGACTGAGAATGCATTTGTGTGCAGCTGTGCAAGGAAAAACCAAAATGATGAAGCAATGAGTATCCATTCTACAGGGTGGTGATTCTCTTTATGGTAGACCTGATTAAATTCATACTCAATACATGATGTACAATGATGTTTTTTATAGAGCATTTTGTAGTTATGTGTGCAACAGAACTCTTTTGAAATAGAGCTGTATGTATGAATAAATTATCTCTGGTACACCCAGAAACCTGATATCATAAAACAGAACTGTAGAGGTGTGTACTCTAAGTATGATTCATTAAATATCCAAACAAGCCTATCTGCTAAAGGCAAACAGAAGCACAAGTAATCCTTATCTCCCACTCAGGTAACCTCATAAATGTACGCATACATACTACTTGGAGGCGTTAGCTTAATCCAGCAAGTGCTTTGTAAAGTAAACACACTGAATGGTTGTGTGTTTGAATGTAGACCCACATAAATTCATTCAGAGAACAAAACTGTCACAGTAATTTATGGGTGTGTCCTGCTTAACTAAGGACTTTTCATATCAGAATCAGAATCAGAATTGTGTTTATTGGCCAAGTATATGTGCAGACACATACAAGGAATTTGGTTCCGGTAGATGGTGGCTCTCAAGCACAGCAATGTAAATCACACACACACAAGTTAAAGTTTTTAAAGACACCATCAAACCTATAAAATCTTTCATTTAATAAAATATAAACTCTAGCTTTTGCCACTTCAATGTGTAATTGCAAAATGAAAATCAGTGTTATCGCCCAGATGAAATGCATGAAGACTGCCTGGCTCATCTTACTGGAGAACAACCTTGTGAGACCAAATATGAATGAAATTTGTAACTTCTAAATACAAGGTAACATGAAGAACAAATCTGGGGAGATGTACATCCAGAAACACACAGAAGCTTGCACGGAAATAAGGAGACATCTTCACGTTCTCCTTAAAATAGTCTGTTTATTCTGTATTGAAACACAGGGTTCAGTCAGAGGACACTCAGTCAAGTGGAAAGTAGTGATCTCTATTCAGTTCCATAACATCAAATGCTTCTGATAGGGCTACAGCGGCAAATGCACACTTCAGAGTCATCAGCAACCAAAATACTGCTCTGTATTTGACATATAATAACATTAAATACAAGATGGAGAGTAAATGAGTGTTTTATGTGTTCAGGAGGAGGCATAGTGAGACAGAACGGTCTGAGATCAATGCATCACACATGACTTTTTTAAATTGAGAAAATAATTCATATGTTGAATTCCTAAAAATACTGATCATAAAAACCTAACTAGCAAAAACAAAAGCTAACTTTCTCTTCTGACTGCAAACTGGGCATATAAACCTGTGTAAGACCATTTCTCTTCACCACTGAGGATGTCACAAACAGGACACACGTGTCCAACAAAGTAGCAAGGGTCATTTAAATCCCTCAAAGCCCCAAATAAAAATAAATATATGTATCTATGGTTTAAGTAAAATATGTATTTTCGTCAAAAAGCGTCCAGGCAGCCTAGTCATTCCTCAGTTATACAGATGACGCTTTGGCCAACGTGTATACGTTAGATACATTCATTACTTATTTTAATGCACTGACAAAAACTTATTTGTGCATAAAGTGTCATAAAACAGACTGTTGGCCAGAAATACAGACGGGCTAAAACGGTCGTCTTCAGAAGATCTGATCTGCATATAAAGAATAAATAACCTTGGCATCCTCTTATAGTGTATGTGTGTGTACATCATCGATATCTTATATGGCACGGAAACACCAGCAGAGATTGGGCACCACATACATTCAGGGATGCATTGTAAGACTTAAGAGTGCCAAGTAGGTTTGTCTGTACAGCTGATTCACACCGGTACATGCCACGTACTGATGTCAGTGCGTTTTTTTATTTTGGCAAGTCAGTTCAGAAGTTTCTATTCACGATTGCTTCTCCGAAGACAAGCTTTGAGAGAAAAAGAGTGAGAGGCGGCCAAATATCTTTACTGCCCTCTCAAGGATCTCAGAAAAATGACTGCGAGCTGCTTTTATTGCAGAAACACCAACAGTCAGACATGTAATACCAGTCAGCAGCAGCCATGTACAAAAAAAAATTCCTAATTTTACAAATAATATAAATAAAATATCTCAAAGAAAAGTGTTGAAACTGAAAATCTAAACGAGATTGCTGAAGCAGTGGCTTTGCTATAGGCACTATAACGTTTACAGCAGTAGCGACAAAAGAGCCCCATTTGAAAAGACACAACTGATATGCAAGGCAAACTATGTATATTTCACAAAAAGGCCATGTAGTGTAGTCATAGCAGAATAAAAAGGCCCCTGGCTTCTTGTATCTTCTTATGCCTCTCGGTTATTACTCTCCCTTTCTTAAATAAGCTCCAACAACATTCTGCTGCAGGTGGTACAACAGTGCAGTCAAAGTGTGCATAGCTTTAACAGAGGAGA